TACACACACACACACACACACACACACATACACACACACACACACACATATATATATATATATATATATATAATATGAATATACTGCATTAATAATAATAATAAAATAATATTAATAATAACAATATAAAAGGCCTAAATTTAGTGTCTTATAATGCTAACGTCCCAGGCATAAATATCTCAAAAACCGATCAATGGATCTGCATGACATTTTCTATATTGGTCTGTCACGTTCCAAGAAAGAAATTAAATTTTGGTGACGATCCGGAGCAGGGTGTGGATGAAGACCATTTAAAGAGAATCGTCCCAGACCAGATCAACTGATAATGAACCTTTTTTGAAGAGTTAACCAAGTTACAAGGAAGAAATGATATCTCAAAAACCCATTAATGGATCTGAATGATTTTTGGAATGGCTTGTCGTGGTCCAAGGAAGAAATTAAATTTTGGTGACGATCTGGAGTGTGGTGTGAATATGAGGACCCTTCAAAGGGAACTCTTAAGGACCTACATATCTAAAAAATGATAAATGCATCTAAAAACCTTTTTGAATGCTTCGTCGTGGCCAAAGAAAAAAAGTACAGTATGCAATTTTGGTGACATTCCGGGGTAGGATGTGCATGACCCTTAAAACGGAACATCCTGGACTTTAAAAGCCGATCAGTAGATCTGAATGAAACTTTCTGGAATAGTTTGTCATGGTCCAGGAACAACGATTAAAGCTCTCACTGGCTACCGAATCGTACATAACTAAAAACGTGTTAAGTTGTTTAGTTGATGACGTTAGCTTTGTAAGCGACAGGTCCTCGGCTCGGCAAGTGAAGTTCGTTTTCGTTATCATCGTCATTATTATCAAATAAATTATTACGAACTTTATAACCTATCCAGTGGCGGATTCAAGGCGGGCCCAACCTTAGGGCTGTCAATGTATTAATTTGAAAATTTGAAATATTTAAAGTAAGATGGTTAAGGCAGGCCACTCGTAGTTAGGTAGTCTAACCCTTGTTGCATGCAGATATAACTATCATTCTGTGATGCCATTTTTTCATCTCAGATCGATCTTTTGTCAGGGCCCATCTTTTCCAATCATTCTAGGACGTTTATTGCACACTCTTCAAATGGTAGTAAGGCGTACGAAAGAACGTTTATTGACATAGGGCCGGTCATAGGGATAGGCCCTAAACGATGTAACGTCTCTTAACAATCTTTAGCATAAACTGAAGTCTTCTATGAAAAATAATTCAATTCAATTTACTGACGCTCACCAAAAGTCACCAAGGTCTATTATCAGCAAAATTACAATAAAATACACAAAACGGATCTAACAATTATATACCCATCAATCAAGCTTGGTATATGTGACAGCCTAAAGAAACACTTATTTTGCTTACCAAGCCTTTTAAAACGTTTGTGAAAGATGCAATTTATGATTACAGTGGTTCCTCCTCATTTGTTAATATTATTTTTAAAAATGTCAAAAAAAAGAAGAAAACTATAGGCCTATTCTAATTTAATTTTTGAAAGTAATTCTGGCCATCTAATTAAATGATCGCGTGATCCAGAGCTTTTAAACAACGCCCATCTAGAAGATATCAAGATATTCTAAACTGAAAATGAGCAATAAATCGTGGGGTTCAGAGCGTTTGAACAACGCCCACTTACCCGCTCGTAATTATCGTTCCCCCTCCCCCAGTCGGGCAAATCCTGAGTCCATCCCTGTTCTTTAATCGTTTAATAAAAAAAGATAAAAAAAATATTCCAAACAGGAAGAACAAAAATGAGGTTCCACCGAGATTTGAACTCGGATCGCGAGATTCAGAGTCTCGAGTGCTAACCGTTACACCATGGAACCGTATATAGTACTTAAAAGAACAGAATAATACACGACAATTTAATAATAGAGGTTTAGTAAAATGACATTCAGTGAAAACAAATACTTATCAAGATACTGTATATCTTTCTATTTCTATTGATCGATCTTTTGAAAGAATCAAAAAGTTAAAAACTTTCATTATTTCACAGAACAAACATCAGTATTCAAATAATTTGCAGACGTTTTACCTACAAAAAATAATTGCTGGCAAAATTAAAGTGTAACAATTTACACGATCTGGTATTAAGCCCCATGGTCTAGGCCTTAATAAAATTGCTAACTTTCATTCAATAAAGTTTCTTAAATTTCTAGATTTTTCTACTGAAGATTAGCACGGACGAATAAATTGTTCGCTGTGGCTGGAGGTCCGGTACCGGATCCATTATTTTCAGGTCTTAAATATCTGGTACCGGATCCGTTGGGGAAGAAAAACCACAATTCGTTACGGGGAGAAAAATGTACATGTATCATTTTCTACATAGGCCTATAGTAGTTTCTAAAAAATCGATTATAACCACTTGAAACCCCCTGAACTTGTCATGTTTTTCGGGGCTTCGCATTCAGGGGCTCTTAAGGTGGGCCCGACCAATCCCACTTTTTCTCGTAGGGAACTTCGACCGAACTGTAGGGAAAATCCTGGCGCCACCCCTGCCTCAGCCCCAAACATGTTGGGGCTGAGGTGATCTAGACCCTCCATCTGTGAAAGTCCCTACCTGGATCTTCCACTGGATTATCCGTTTTGAGGTTGAATATATTGAATAGAATACTAGTTGTATTAAGTCTGCCATAGGCCAGGCCACGCCTACTCTCATCATACGTCGTAAATCAAGGCAATCATCATTATTTTTTATAGGCCTAACAACGAAATTATTTCTTGTTAAACTAATAATAATACATACATCCAAGCAAAATCTGTACCGTACTACATGGTTTTATGATAGTATTCCAAGTATCGAAATGCACGCCATCGTGTCGGGATTCAATATTTCGACATTAATTATGTCATCATCAGGAGATCATTCCTGATGATGACATAATTAATGTCGAAATATCGAATCCCGACACGATGGCGTACATTTCGATACTTGTGGAGTACACTACTATCTTAATATTCCGAGATTAATCAGTGGACCTTTCGGTAGTAGGTTTATAGAGGGCGGTATGGAAAAAAGAGAACAGTGTAATGTTCAAGTATGGACCGTTCGAAAAGGCAACACCTTTTATCTGTTATTTGTTATTTTTGATGTACAATTCCTGAATTAAGAAACAATCGTATTGGGCATAATTCCGCCATAATATAAAACAACGTCTATAAAGAGGAGCCTGATATTTCTGCAGACTCTAGGATATAAACGTAAGTATTAAAATGAGGGAAGATTGGGGTGGGGTGGGGGTGGAGGGGTTGGTCCTCACCAACCCATGATATAGGCCTACACATTAAGAAAAAAATAAAACATGAAATAAAAGTGAACATTAAAGCAATTACTGATATTTTGGCGTCGTATAAGTATAGAAAGTGTTATTACCAATTTATATTTTAAAGCCAGACTCCGGAGAATTTTTTTGTTGTTGTTGATAGATCTATGCTGTAGAACTGGGTTTTCTAAGACAGTACACAGAAATCATATTTGACGAAAAACTCGGGAACAGTTAAGAGTTAAAAATTTTTGAATATTTAAAAGCTTGGGGAAAGGTGAAAAAGGGGTGGTTACGCCCCATTTTCCCCAGTTCTTAAAAAATGAAAAATATGTATTTCCAATTTATATTTTAAAGCCAGTCTACAGAGTGAAAGAAATTGTTGATATGTTGTGAACTGATTTTCCTAAGACACAAAAAGCATATTTGACGAAAAACTCGGGAACAGTTTCTTTGAATATTTAAAAGCTGTGGGGAAAAGGTGGAAAAAAAGGGTGGTTGGTTACGCCCCTTTCCCTCAGTTTTTAAATATTGAAATATGTATCTCATTAACCATTCCGAAGTTTTTCTTCATTATGCTTTTTGTGTCTTAGAAAAATATTTGTAAGGCCAATTTTCAGGGCCAATTAATTGTAAAATTACGGTACGGTAGCATATCAATATAATTTACAACTACATTTAAAAGATAAATGATTGGAATGTATTTATAGACAGTACCGTCCATACGGGAGATAATATATTTTTAAAATAGCATTGTATGCGTCATGCAATGATCATCACATGCCAGATCGCCATGTGGTAGATGTCGTTGCAGCAAAACGTCCATATTCTCGGTGAGGAAGCGGTCGGCTTTGGTTGGCTAACCTTTAACTGTTGACCTTGGAGTGGTGCGCTACATTTACTGATTAAATGAGCCAGACGTTTGGCACATGGTAAGTAAACTACAAAAATAATATAATTTTAAAAATTGTGTGATTTATTTAGCGTGTAATACTGTCTATACGCACTTATTATTCATGTTTTACTTGGGAGCTTGTGTTTGTGCTCCTCGACTATTTTCGTAAAATACCCTTCGTATTTATTCGTAAAAACTCGTAGTCCAATAAAAAGACAATGATTTTGGCGCCGTGCCCTATCGGAATATGTTCGGGTCTGTGGGAGAGTTCTTTCTTGTGTGCGATAGTGAAAATACCGAAGCTGAAGGTCTTTTAAAAATTGGTATATTCGGGCAGGTTAGCAATATATTCTATATGATATTATTAAACTGAATACACTTTTGCATCTATGTAAAGTATTGTTGATCTGTTCAGTAGAGACATTTTCGGATTACACGTAAATAAGCAAAATAAGTCCTGGTTTTCAGTCAGCATGTTATCAAGATGGCCGAATTTACACACAGTTCATACAAAAATGCATGCTATGTTTACAGTTTTTATTCTATTTTGAGCCTTTTCTAGAATATGACTAATACTCGATTATGTGTTACATTTGCAGTAACTTACCAGAGTATATTTAAATGCATTTTTATCTTCATAACCATCAATAAATTAGCAATTTGTTGTAGCAAATTCAGTTCTGTTTCTGATGCAGTGATGGTTGATGTGAAACAGCCTTGAAATGTGACATGTAGCCTAGCCTAGGCAAAATATCTTGACCATTTTTACCCACAGTCTTTGCTTTTACACCTCTTTTTACATTAATTACATTGTTGCTTTAAGTAGTTCAAACAAATATCAAGTAGATTTAGCATACATATTTTGACAATACATTTGGAATTAATGCTGTAGCCTGTGTAATTCTGCTTCCTCAATCAAAGTACGCTCAATTATCAAGATGGGCCTACATGGTCGCATGAAAGAGTTCTGGCTTGGGCCTACTGAATATTTCGATAATAAATTAATTGCTAGCCTTGATTTTGTAACAACATTCATATGCTTATACTGAAGCAGTGTGTGTATTCCTGACCTGTTGTGGCCATTTTGAACAATGAGCTGTTTCAAATGAATTCGACAACCTACAGTACCTACTGTAGGTACTAGGCCTAAAAAAATACAATTAAAAAGAATTCTTTGAATGTGGGTATTACCTAGCTAATGATTTTTTAATGTGTTTCAGTTTGTAGTGCAAAACTTTTTTTTTTGTAGAACAAATATGTCTTTTATAGAATTTCCAACTATTCTATTTAAGCCTGCTTGTAAATTAACGCTGTAAACATGTCTGCATTGTTAAGTTTATTTTCTGACCACAACGTTCGAGAATGTTGGAATAACAGCGTTTTGTTTGCTTGGTATTTCCTCATTGTTAATATTGCTTGTCTGTAACTAATTTGTGAGGTGGTCCAAAACTTGAACTGTACTATTTTTATAGGTATGGCATACTGTACAGTATTTTCACCTTTGAGTTGTTTTGATTTTTAATACCTTAAAAAAGATTCTAATTTTTCTTTAATTTGTTCTGATGTATAATGTTTATCTACATCAGTCAATGGTATAAAGTATGCTATCTCAAGTGGTACTGTATTTTAAAAGTAATGTTAAAATGTATGTTGTGTGGAGTGTTATCAAATTATTTCCCAATCCAAATTTCTTGGTTTCAGTACATACAATACACCCCCTGTATTACTGTAGACCGAATTTGTCACCAAATGTTGGGTATAACATCAAAACACACTGCTAGGTGGTAGTTTTTTAACACAATATTAAGCCTCTGTTCGACTGTTTTAAACTTTCTCAAACTTGATTTGTACATTTTAACATAAATTAACTTATCGGAATGCCGTGGTAAATGTTTGTAAATCAACTCCAGGAATTTTGACCCGTTACATTGAAGTGGGAGTGAAAGAAACATCTATGGAAAGTTTTTTTCACACAGTGAGCATAGCCTTGTTGCGTAAACATAGGCCTAGGCTGACAGTCACACAAACAACATTCTTTTTACTCATTGGGCATTATAGTCAAAAGAAACATGTATTATTCTACAGTACAATTCAGCAATTTAAGTTTGTCAAATAGTTTTAAATATTCCTTGCAGAAATTTAAAAAATGACTGACAGTATTTTATCTGAATGTGAACCTCTAAATCAACAACAGTTCCCTTAGTCAGCGCTGGATGTTGATGTCGTGCGGTAGAACAGTCCCAAGTGATGAGTGTAGCCCCCTAGAAGGCCTCTCAAAAGTCTTCATATTTTTGGTCTGAATGAATATGTAAATATAATCAATCTTTTAATCTTGTGAATCTGTGATTCATTCAGAATGCATTGTATGTTCTATGTGAACTTCATTACATTTTAGACGAATTAATATACACCACTTTTAACTCAGCTGAATGCATAATTATGGCTCTGGCAAATGTTTGTTTCTATGCCCTCTATACAAAATCGTGATGATGTCATCTTTGGGGACTTATTCGGTCTATCACTGTATGAGACATTTTTAAGCAATTTCTTAATGTGTAATTTCTATCGTGCTTGCATTTATACATTTAATTTTGTTTATTTGTTCCAGGTAATAGCAGCATATTTCTACAATTGATATGCATGGGAACAAATTCATCTTTGCAAACATCAGTTGTCGATACAGTCACTAGTACCAATGTGAACAGAATGAATCCTGGTGACCATCGAAACCCATTGCCACCAATACCGCCACTCTACAGCAGTGTGGACACATCACAACGACAGACGTACAGTCCATCAGGAACGCACACGATGTCATCGATGTCCACATACAGTCAGAGCCCTCAGGGTTTTAGTCACATTCCAGTTAATCCTGTACCGGGTCCTCCTTATCACAAGATAGCACAGCCCCTTCATCAGCAAGATTCCACCCAACAGCCTGTATACTCGCAGTATTCTCAGGCATATTCACAGGGTCCATTTCCACCACAATCATACCCTTCCCAACAGTATTATCCTCAACCATCTGGCTACCAGCAGCCATATCCTGGCACCATGCATCCCATGAGTCAACAGTACCTTGCCCAGCCAATGTCGTATCAACAACCAAGCCAAAGGTATGATCAGGCATATAATAGGCCATTCCCACCAGAACAAAGGTCAGCAATCCCTGGCTACCCTCAACAACCACCTACAACTCAGTCAACTAGTCACCCAACAGTACAGCACCCTGTGCCACAAATGGCAACAGCTCAACCAGTACCATATCAGCCCTATCCAACTTACCCACCAACTTCCCAAAATGTTTCAGTCTCTGGTCCTCCATCAAATGTACCACCAGCTGAGACAGAGGAAAATCACAGTGAGAAGTTAAGTTCTCCACCAACCAATCAGGTGCAAGCTGAAACAGCACAATTAAAACCATTACCAGTACATCCACCAGATGTGAAAGATGATGAGAGTAATACCACAAACCAGACTTCTGAAGAGGAACTTAAAGACCTAGCTGAGAAGTCTACAGATTCTGGAGACAACAAAACATCACCTTTTGCCCAGAAGAAAGAAACTGTAAAGGCTGGTAAGACTGCTGTTAAACCGCAAGCTGTTACCTCTGCCGTTGCTACCTGCCCAAGTGGAAACATGATGCCGGTAGTAGGCTTTGACGAGAAACCTTGCGAGTGGCTAGTTGGTGATCTGGTTTGGTCTAAAGTAAGTGGACATCCGTGGTGGCCATGCATGGTAGCATATGATCCAAATCTTGGAATATATACACGTATGAAAGGCAAGTGCATGAGAATTTTATTTTTATTTTTATGATCAAATACAGTAGGGTGAAATGGTGACTTCAAATGTCTACATCTCTTTTAGGAGTTACTGTGTTTTTGTTTAACACTATTTAAATCTAATTAATGGATCCTCTGGTTACTTTAGATCAATCATTCATTTGGAAATCCATAAAATCTTTTGTGGAAGCAAACACCTTAACAGAGGTGAATCCAACCTTAAAGCTAATCTAAGGGTGTATTCGAAACGCTGTTCCTGTGTGTTCACGAACGTGACGCAAACCCGAGAACCAATTCTCGAGTTTCAAACGGCCAAGAGCAGTTTCTATGACAACGTTTTGTATCAATATGGCGTTTACTGTCCGATCGCAGGTTTGTCGCGCAAAATGAGAAATTCTATACACATTAATTACATTTTCACAAATGCATATCTTCCCTATCAGTTTCCCCATCAGCTGCTATTGCCCCCATAGTAGTATCCTTGGACATTGGCAATAATACTTAAAAAAGAAACTTACTTGGTAGGAGAACCTGCCTCCTCCGCCACGTTTGTTCTTCATCACACCCACTATCAAGGTAGTGTGAGTTTTGAGAACAAGAACACGTTCGCGAACGTGTTCCGTGGTATTCGAGACTTCCCAGAACGTGTTCTCCGACTGTTCCTCATTCGCGAACAGCGTTTCGAATACACCCTAATATGCTAACCTACAATACTACTGTATGTACTATTTTCATATTTTATTTTAATAATTAATAATTCGGTGTGTATATTAAATATACAGTGACATCTCCAAATTACATACCTCTTAGTTACAAACTCGCTATCTTCGAAATGCGATTGCATTTAAAAATTCTCTCATAATATTAAATGCTTATTTAGCCAAAAAGTATAATGTTAAACCAATAAATAAAACTTTAAGCCGGCATAGGCATAAAAATTTGTCAGAGGGCTGAAGTGAATTTTTGATGTAACATCGAGGGTCGCACCCAAAATTTGATGGTTTCAGTGTTCTTCCAAAAAACCTTCATGCACGCTTTTATACCACTTTATTCTCAGTTTTAATATTACTTTTTACAGATGATCGGTGTCGGGCCGTAGAAAAACAATGTGTTTTTTAGCTAAAGAGGCAACAGTCTTGAGTGTTGGTGGGCCGCACACATAGGGTTTTTAATTTGTTTCTGCAGGCCGCAAAAAAATTCTTGTCGGCAGCATGCGAGCCGCAATTTTCTCACCTGTGCTTTAAAGCCAAAATATAAATTTTTTTTCAGCTATATATTTAAATCAGTGGGAAAGCTCACTGTTTGTTTGTTGGTGAACAGAAAAATACAGTAACACTTTAATTATTACGTACAGGCGAGACTTTTTATACCTTGTTTAGCAAACACGCCGACTGCAAATATTGATGATTTCGAATAAAGTAAAATTTTATTTTTCGCCAATTAGCGCACCCGCTGCCACGAAAATGTGGAAATTTAAAAAAAAAAAAATTTTTTCTTTATTTTTATTATGCTCTCCAATGCCTTGAATATATATATATATATATATATGCCTTGAGTAGATTTCTTCCTAATTATATAAATTTGAATCATTTAATAACCATCCTATTTTACATTCACCAATAAAATTTTATATTTATTTTCTCCTCCGTCTGAATGGTTTTAGCAAAACTATTTGTTAAATTAGAAAACAAATTATAGTATGCGAAACAAGGAATAAAAAAATCTTGCCTTATTTGGAAGTCATTTAATGGAATACAGTAAATCACAGGTACAGGCAATTTTCTCTTCTGTACCATGTTGCAGAAAATAGTAAAATCTGATATTTCATGATGGAAATTTTCTTTTTGCCCTGGAACCTTGGATCCTATTTCAGTTGTTAAACACAGTATGTCCTAATGTAAGTAACACTAGGCTTAACATCACCAATAAGATGCTACCAGGAAATTTCAAATGAATTATAAATTTGTTGATTACAAACGCTGTTCTGATGGAGGGATAATTAATTTTACAGAATGTTAAGGAAATTGGTTTGAATATTTCAGATAAAATGTGAATTATTTTTAGAATAAATTATTTGCGTCTCTAGTACCTTTCAGATGTCTTAAGAATCTAAAAATAAGAATGAACCTACTGTAACATGTTGAATCTTTCCTTATGTATGTTCTAGGTGGTGGTGCAAAAAGCTATAGGATGTATCATGTTCAGTTCTTCGGTCAAGTGCCAGAGAGAGGCTGGGTTAGTGGAGCAAGCATGCGCAAATTTGTTAGTAGAGAACAGTATGATAGCCTTATCAAAGAACTTGTTTCTAAAATCAAGAATAAAACTGATAGACAGAGAGTTTTGCAGAAAAATTCTCTAAAGCCAAACAGGAAACCAGCTTGGGATGTTGCCGTCACTGAGTGTGTACGAGCTCTTCCAATGAGCAGACATGAAAGGAAATTGAACTTTACTTTTAAATATGAGATGCCCAAAGCAGGACTAGGTAGTGCAACTACCGAAGAGATTGATATTGTGTCCCTTGGAGACTCTCCGAAAATGAAAGCAAAGAGAGCCTATAAGAAGCATCAGGATGATGAAGCTGCTGCTGTTTCTACGGCGATTCCATTGGTGCCAAAGAAATCGACTAATGAGAAATCTCAGGAAGAGAAAGAGAAGACGTCTGATGTGGAAGACTCCACTGTGGGTCCGGCAACCACACCTGTAAAACAGAAGCGGCAGTACAGGAAGAAACCGAAAGTGTCCGAGGATGAATTGTCATCCGAGGCGGAATCACCTCGGAAGAAAAAAAGAGGTCGTAAACCTCAACCATTTCATGAGTACAGCAAAGCTCATTGGGAAGATATTTCCAATGAGCATCCAACTTTAGGTAAAAAAGAACTTTATACTATCTTAGAGGAAAAATGGGATGCACTGCCTGAAGATGAAAAAGCACAATACCATAGTACCAAACCAGCCAAGATTGGCAGCGAAAAGAAGAGTATGTATACATTCCTTTTAAATTTTTCCCGAAATACAGTACCGCCACGAAATATTGCAATTTTACCTGCGCGCAGGCTTCGTAGATACATCGTAGCCTGATATAAACAATCTAAGCAAGGCTACGTGAAGCGAACCTACGAAGCAAAAGCATGTTATTTATTTGTATGTGCAGAAAGACTGCTGTAGCTTACTGGAATAAACAATGTATTGCTTGATAATTTGTGAACGAAAAACACAAGTTTAGACCGTTAATTTAAAGTATGGAGCTGTTTTTCAATAAGAAAAACATACACTTGACTTCATGGGAGTCTCCTCTACCACTCACTGTCCACGACAGGAACTTGTTTGTACTGCTGTATTATTTTGTATTATTATTAATTAGCCTAGCTTATTTTTTATTTACAATTATTTTACCTCTTTTAAATGTCAAAAAATGATGTCCTCAATGACAATACACACATGTGAAAAGATTGTTCATCAAATAATATTTAGTAGTCTTGATTTAGTAAGATAAATAATAAATATAAAGGAAAATTAACGTCTGTTGGTTGTAAAATTACCGAATGTCATGTGGAAATCCCAATGTAAAATAAAATTTAGTCAGCATCAGACGTCAGAGTGCGCGCCAATCAAAACGCAGTAAAGTGTGTTAAAGGTTAACCCCGTGGCAAATGTTAAAAAGCTGTGAGCGACAGTGAGTAAAAAACGAAGTAAATGCTGTCTGGCATGACTAGCCTTAATTCGGCAAGGTAGTGATTTCTATACTTCCATTTAGTATTGGATCGCTTTGCAGGTTTTGCTTCAAATTACGGTAAACAATAAACAACGTGATCTGTAGAAATCGTAGTAATTTGTACATGATTTGTCATCAGTAATATTATTTAAAAGAAGAAAATTCCTACTACCAGAACAATAATATCTGATCAAAATTCTCCGAATTTGAAAGTTTACCAGTATAATTACTGTCTGCTCTCCGCCTCTATAGGGGAAAATGTAGGCCGTACGTAGGCCTAAATGACATCGAAATTCAAACATACTGAATGCCCACTAGGATACCTAGCTAGCGAACTAAACACAGTTTTAAAACATGATCGATCTAATAATAAGGTAGGATATAACAAAACAATAAAGTTCTAACATTGTTTATTAGTAAATTGCATCGTGTTGAAAGCTGGTAAACTATATTTCAATATTGTTTATGCATTGTTTATCAGCTTGACGATCCAGCCTACGATCATTGCAAAGCTAATTAAAATAACAATGACCTTTGTAGTCGTTCGTAGCTACGTTCAAAACGTACCTACGAGCAGGTTACGTGCAGATACGAAGCGATAATTTATGTCTGTACTGTAGCTTTTATTTTGAATGTATTAACAGACTAGAGAATAGCACAAAAAAATGTTTATGTAACTTGAAACATTCTTTTTTGGGTGAAAGAGGTTTTAAAAAGATTTTCAGATACAATAGTGCTTGGCTTCCAATTCCATGTTCCATGGTTCAAATCCTGTGATTTTTCTCAACAAAATAAAACATGTTACACTTCCGAAGCTATGTAATGAGACTTAGTCTGCAATAGTTGCTTAGTATTACAAGGCCCCTGAATATTAGCTGACTTAATATGTTTAGCTGGAATGGTTACCCTCTATTATTATGGTATGAAAAAAAATAACTATTTAAAATCTAAAATTCTTTTTTTTTGTGCAGGAAAGCAAAGATCGGATGATAGTGATGGCAAGCCTTTGACTCCTACTAAACGATCTAAGAGAGAAACAAAGCCGTCACTCAAGATGCAAGAAGCAGACTTTGATAGCATTGGATTTTCACCTGAAATGGCTAAAACTTTAAAGGTATTGATTTTGTGATAGTTTTCTTTTTTCTTAACATTCAAAAAAGACTATTGAGTAACAATTCACTGAAATCAAATTATTCCCAGTTCCCACAGAAAAAATGATGTTACACACATCTTGTGCATGTTAGGGTAAATGTAACATGTCCTCTGCTACATTGCGACTGTGATGGTGCATGCTTGTAAGATTAGAATGTGACCCATGTAACAAAAAACAGATTTGAAAGAAATGCCAGATTTGCTTTGATCTGCCATATGTTCACTCTTGAACTTAATAAATGCAGAACATTCACTTTTTCAAATTCATTTGTTGTTTGTTTTCCAGTTTCCTGTCATCTTGCATATTTCAAATCGTGTGTCAACCGTTTTCTTTTTAACTGTATTAACCCCTTAACTTGAGAGGCCCTTGATCATCTTTAAGATGACTAAACAAAGAAAAAAACCATAGCAAAGGCCTGTAATGCTATCCTGCTGTGATATATAGTAAGAATCTGTGCACATGCACACTGGGAGCAGCTAATGTTTTACTGCATCATTGCATTTTGGGCCTACTACTACTGTCTGCATATCGTTTTGTACCGACTTTAGCAAGTTTTAATTTTACTTGAGTGAAGATATGGTAATTTAATAGAAATATCAGCCCTCAAAATTGGGGAAATTTGCAATATTAATTATGTTGGTCAACCTATTAATAAAATAAATTATTTTTATTTGTTTTTTAAATATTAAGTTAGATTATCTAAATTCTTGTAGTCTATTTCGTGAATACTTACCTGGATAAACCGACTAATTTCCCCGTTCCTGATATTCATGGTGGGGGGCCCGGTTCCTCCGTAGGAGCCGGCTTGGTAGGGAGAAGGCTGATGTTTTTCGCCCACGAATGGGAACGGCTGTCTCAAGATAGCTGGACCCTGCAGACAATATCCTGTGGGTACCTGGGCCCCCCCCCACCATGAATATCAGGAACGGGGCAATTAGTCGGTTTATCCAGGTAAGTATCTCACTCATAGACTACCAACATCACAATTAATTTGTGTATTTTTATTTATTTACACAGGCTAAAGAAAAACAGAATAGTAAAGAACCTCAAAAGGAAACAACAAATAAACAAGGACTAACCAATACAGGGACTCCAAAAGCTAAGCCCAGTCCAACACCGAAACGACAACAGAAAACGACTCCAGCAGCCGATACCACTCAACCACCAGCCACTGAAAGCATTCCTCAAAAAGACACTGTCATTCCGGCCGATGTCATTACATATGACCCGTCAAAGAGAAGCAAGAAAAGGAAATTAAAGAAATTAAGGATAGACTCTGCTCAAGAGGTTAGTTGAAGATTATGTGTGCAGGGTTGTGGAGTAAATGTCTGGGGTCATGAAAATGTTACCTCATCCCCATTCCCCCTTTCCCATTCTCGATAGCAATTTGAAGTGTAGTCTTGTTTGCCATATATTTTAAGCCGGGCACTCACTCCCATGATGCGTACGTAATGGATCATTTTTAATGACGATTCGATGACTGCCATCAGCAGACGGCATCCCTGTTGTTTAGCGTTCACCGGAAGCAGAGTTAGATTCGTTGTATGAAGTGAGTGCCCAACTTTTAAGCCGGTTTTACACTAAGCAAATGTATTTGCGGAAATCGAAAACGTCAGTTCATTGCCATTCACATTTCTATCGGAGTTTTCGCTTCAGCATACCAGTAGTTTGAACTGTTTCTGCTTTTTGCGAAGCGAAAAAATGCGCAACCAATCACAGCTCAGGAAGCAAACTTGCCTAGTAAACCCTTCTTAAGGCTCTGATTAAACTCATCTTGAATATTCAAGATTGCCAGGTTCGAAAGAAATTCCTTTATGAATGTTTAGTTTTTCTTGAAATATTAGTATCATTATAGCCAGCGTGTATTATGATTTCTTTCCTTTTTTAACTTAGTCTGGTCACTTTCAAATAAACAAAAAGTTATTAGTTTTTTTTTAGTTGTAAAAAAGAAAGGATTTTTTGATATACAGGCTGATGGTCAAGCAACTGAAAGCGAAGACTCTCCTGGTGTTTTGGACCCTACCACCGAGAACAGCAACCCTGCCAGTGGTAAACAATTTTTCTTCCATTCATCCAAAGAAAAACCATAAAGCTTGCTAAACTAATATCTGACATATTTTTTTTTATATCCAATACTAGGTTTATTAAAGAATCAGGGTGTCACAGTATAAAGTAGAATATTCATTGTCTTTACACATTGGGTCTTTTAAAATTTTTCTAGACTGTCTTAATTGTAAAAAAAAATTTTCTACATATAGACAAATGTATATATTGTATAAAGCTAACACAAAGATACTGCATAACACATACTTCTTGGTCCAAGATACATTTTTATTGATGCTAAATGCAACAATCTTATGTTTTTGATGTGTTTTAAATCTTCCTTTGAATAACTTTTGCATAATTGTTGTTGAACATTTTTCTGAATAGTTGAGAAATTTTAAGCCATTGTCTTTCCAAATGCTTTAAACTTGTTATACATATATTGACAGCCAAATTTAATGTTGATGTTTATTTGTGTAAGAATTTAAAGTTAACATAAACATTTTCCTGAAATTTGTATGAAGGCTCTATCATAGTTCAGAATCAAAATTGGTAATAACCAAAACAGGCAAGGAGCCTTATATAGAGAACTTAACAAGTTACCTATAATTTCTCATAGTAGGCTGCATATAGATTTCTGAAGCATCTTTTTATAATTGAAGGAGTAAATTTAGTACTTCACATAAAAAATTAAAAAATCTCTACCTTTATTCAAGCCACTTCCAATTTCTGTAATTTTACTAAACTAGTACTGAAAAATAAAAACAGTAAATATTTCAATTTGGCATTTACTCTCTAACTTATGGAAGTCACTAGTGAAATGTTTTGCTGACATGTCTCATAGTTCCCAGAATTGAAATTTGACATGCTTCTATAATTGAATTGTATTTAAAATTCTTTGTGTTCCATTTGTTGAACAAATTTCACCTTTAATGCCATTTTAACGCTGAATCCATTTAGTTTATCAATATCATATTTATTTTAAATGTGTTTTAAATTGTGTGGTTATTTGTTCTTTTGATTTGTTAGTAATTAGATGATTTAAATATTTAGGTATGTTAAACTTTAATTAACTCAACTTATTTTTTGAAAGTTATACAAAGATTGTTATGTAATTTTTGTAGTCATTGCTAATAATACAAGTAACAAACATTCAGTATAAGATAAAGTTCCTGCAAGGCATGTGTTAAATTACCGCTACTCTAGAGAGTAGCCCATGTTGATGCTTGTTTAGTTGGAACAGATTTTGAAGAGATATTTTGAGTTGTGTGATGCCCTCAAATCCAAACTCTGGTACAGTACATAAAATATTTTGTGAAAGTCTATTAAATATTTTTCCTGTTGAGAAAAACCTAACGTGTGGCGTGTTATTTATCTGATAGATAGCCAGTGTCATGGCTGTGTAACTGTTTAACATGCATGCCTCGTATTTCATATAACAATATAAGTAGTAACAGAGTTTGGAATTGTGTATCACTCATTGAAGGATATATAGCATGTTATTTTCATCTATTTCGTTTTTCTTTACTAAAACCATTTATCTCTACTTTTTATTATGGTACACATTCCTCTTTTAAATTAAGAACCTCTATCATATGATTTTAAAGATAATCTTATTTATAAATTGGCCTACAGATAGTTCATCTCTTTTCTATCATATTATTTAATAACTCATTTATTCAACTAATATTTAATAGTACTAATAATAACACCTATAGAGTAGTATCTATTTTAACACTTTGACAATGCGACACTTTAACCATGTATATAATATACGTACGGTAGAACCCCCTCTATTTAGACATCCCTATTAAGGGGACAATTTTTCAGGCACTAAAAGAGGGAAAGCTTATCTTTTAACACTACGGCCAACCCCCTATTCAGGAGACACTCCTATTAAGGGGACACCCTTTTTGGTCCCAAAGGTATCCCCTTAATAGGAGTTCTACTGTACTATTAAATAAGACAACACATAAACTGTGATTTGCAAAAAGTCCATTACTATTAACATTTTAAATACAATTTTTAGTGTGACCTATAACTAACAGCATTGTCTATAATATGTTGGCTGCCGCTTGCGGTCCTGCATTTCCTTGCACAAGTTTCTTGTACATTTCGCAGTTAAGTGAAGGAATATGAAAATGGGAAACAAATTTGTGTGTTTTACCCAAGCTGCAGAGCAACCAATTGAATCTGCACTGGAAGAATACATTCTCACTAAACTGTAAAGACAATTCTGAACAGCATGGCATTCTGATTTGCTATTCATATGTAATAAAACAAAAATAATAATTGTATATTTTTGCGTTAAAAGAAATTGAATTAGGACTTTTCTAGAATTACATGTGCAATACAACAACTTAAATGTTTCAAATAAAAATAAGTCATGCATTTGCAGTTTTTTAGTCTAGTAAAAACTACTGCATATTTATGTGCAAGTGTGGGCAGCAATACAATTTAGCCAAGGTAAAGTTGCAATTCATCTTGGTCAGATAATTCCAAAGCAAATACAGCTTTACGACAACACTTTTGGCAGTGCACGTAGCAACATTAAAACCAGGCACACACTGTTTCGGCTTGACAACGCAGTCAAAGCAGATTGTCTTTAAGTGCATTCTGTTTAGAGTGCCATGAAATAAAATCTCGTCGGCTGACAACCCATGAACGCAGTGTGTGCCCGGCTAATTATATGGCAGCCAACATGTTAATCCGTAACACACATGTACAAAAATTACCGTTGAAGACATCCATGTGTTCTTCAACAGGGTCGAGTTCTAGTGACGAGGGCGTAGTTAACGGCAAATCCAGCAGTGGTGCTGGAGCTTCCCGTAAAGAGAATGTATGCCAAGTGTGTGAGAGAACCGGTGAACTGTTGCTATGTGAAGGAAGCTGCTGTGGTGCTTTCCATTTAGATTGCATTGGGCTCAGCGTCATGCCAACGGGTACTTTCAAATGCGACGAGTGTATATCAGGTAAGTATTGAAAACAGATTACTTATGATGTAGGCTGTGAAAGCAAAGCTAATTAGTCCCTTGCTATTTTGTACAATATCTCTGAGGTTTGGCACAATATCTCTGAGGCTTGGCACATTATCTCTGAGGTAGAGCACATATCTCCAAAGGAACATAGATAATATTAAAGCTGGTACAAGCTCGTCGCAGTATTGTCTGTCTACGGTTTTTTTAATGATTTCTGCCAGACAGTGTTTGATAAAATATCAGCAAGTTTCGGTCATTACCTTGCTTTTGATTGCTTTACAGTACAGTATATAATTTGCTATGCAAAAAACCTTTCATATAAGGGTACAGTACAAGGTACCAAGTATTGTGTCTCGCTTTCATTTGAACCTAATGATTCTAAACTTGTCATAAATAACATTGCTATAATATATTAATACATTATTTTATTCTCAATTAATGTTTTGTACAGAAATATTTTATATTGAATTGAATTTTATTAAATTAAAAAAAAAACTCAGACAGAACATGTGGCAATAAAGTATTGATCAATTAAAATAGGAATGTGAAAACCATCGAACAAAAACATCCATCAGATTTAAGGGCCTACCCAGGCAATTGTGGTCTTATTTATTGCAGTGTTAATTGAAGAAGAAATGTTTTCTCCTTATTTTTTATTAAAGGCTAAGAACATGATTATAACTAAATGTATACAAAGTAAATTCATTTAAATATTGAATTTGATTGTTCAGCTAAATTTCTTCGGAAATATTATGTTAAGTTGGATTAATTTTGTTTCATGTTTCAGGTGTTCATTCTTGCTTTATATGCAAGAAGGGTGACGATACAGTGAAGAGATGTAATGTGTCAGTTTGTGGCAAATTCTACCACGAGTCGTGCGTTAAAACATTCCCCCAGACGCGTTTTGATAACCGAGGATTCATCTGCCCGCTGCATACCTGCACAGCTTGTGCTGCCGAGAATCCAAAAAATCCTAAATCATCAAAAGGTATGTTATATTTTCAACCTTGTTTAAAACCATGAGGAAATATTAATAGGAACATCTGTTCCGATATTTTTTTTACCAAGATTTGTTGTTTTTAGAAATTTTAAATTTTAGAAAGTTCAAATTTTCAGCATCTCGGTGTGGTGAGGGTAAGCCTATGCTACAAAGTACAGGGCTAGGACTAGGTAGGCTTAAGCGTTGCCATGGGAGCAAAATTTTGTCACAAAATTAATGCTTTACAGAAGTTACCTTGTTCACTGCAAAGTATTCATATGAAGTAATTTCTGAATGAAAACATAACCTATAATGGCCAAGACGAGTGTTGTTATTCTTTTCATAAAGATAGCAAATGCTCCCCCAATGATCAAAAAGTGAGATTTACTGAACAAGCATGCACAGCTCAAATATTGTAACTCCGCCAAAAATGATTGATATTTCCTGCTTTAAACTTCGTTTTATGTCAGTTTATTAGTTTGAATTTTTATCTTAGCTGATGTAATATTTTATATTATTTCTAAAGACTTTTATATACATTTTAAAGTGTTTTTGTAGTTACAAACAATCGTCATTGCCACAAATTGGGTTCGTATAATCAAGAGTTCATAAATGGGAGGTTTGTAATTGGGATGTTACTGTACTATAATACACTACATAAGTCTGGCATAGTATTATTTTTATTATTATTCATTGCAGTATCATTTGTGAATATGATGAGATTTGTGTTTGTTTTCAGGGCGCCTGATGCGATGTGTTCGCTGTCCAACAGCCTATCACTATGGCGATGCATGTATTGCAGCTGGCAGTATGGTCTTGGCCTCAAATGCTATTGTTTGCAGTCGACATTTCCAACCAATCAAAACTCAGAAGCATCATTCACACGTTAGTGTCAGTTGGTGCTTCCTATGTTCTAAGGGTACGAGAATCTTTGTTGATCGTAACAGATATCTATAGTAATGTGTATATTGAGTGTTGTAGTAATAATTTTGATATTTGTCTAGCAAGGGTATCCACCAAACCTAAAGCCTATGGCGCTTGATGCATAGACATATCTCGTTCAGTAACTTCCTGCATTCCTAAGGGTCTCTTTTTCTCTTAGCTACACGAAGAACTGGTACCAGCTACTTTCGTCCACAAAAATGAAATGTAATTTTTTTTTTTTTGTAGGGGTAATGTGCGAACAGTTGGTGCGGCAATTGCAATTTGGTCCCCAAACCAGGCCAACTGCTGAGCATGCAGACTGCAGAAAAAGCTGCAAATGATGCGTTTTTGATAACTATCGTTGCATGTTCAAATGAAAATGTATATTATAAATGTAAATGGATTGAACTGCGTGATGGTCATGGTTTGTGTAAATAAGCCTCAACAACAACACATTGTTAAATTTATAAATTTTTGGGTTTTAACCACAGGCGGTAATCTACTTTGCTGTGAGAGCTGCCCTGCTGCATTCCACCCTGATTGTATTGGTTACACAAGCATTCCAGAAGGACGGTGGTTTTGTAGGGATTGTACCAACGGTAAACGTCCCCAGTATGATGATATTGTCTGGGTCAAAGTCGGAAACTATAGGTGGTGGCCTGGAAGGGTGTGCATTCCAAGGAATGTGCCTCACAATATCCAGGAGAAGCCACATCAAGTTGGAGAATTCCCGGTTCATTTCTTTGGTTCAAATGACTACTTCTGGACACATCAGGCTCGTGTATTTGCTTTTCAAGAGGGTGACAAAGGTAGTAGGGATAGTACAACTTCCAAGGGAATTGCTGCTGTCTTTAAACTTGGTAAGTATTTGAAGAACTTAACGCACAAGAAGATAAGCAATTTTTAAACCATGAGATGTAAAGCAAACTAAGACACAAGAGCACGGAAAGCATTATTTATTTATTATCTTTTATGTAAATATTTGTTAGATTTAATTTCTGTTGTATTAATGGCATGTTTTAAGTGTTGGTTGTAGAGAAAGGCGAAGAAGGAAAATTAAAATTAAAAGAAAAATTTAAATAAGTTAAATATGTTACTGAACTCATATGAAAAATGATACATTAAGTAACCTACCTATATCATTACTTAATATGTAATATAAGAATATATATATTAAATAATATAATATATGAATTAAAAGTGGGACAACCCCCATGAAAGAGAAAAAAGAAAAAAAATCTTGGTAGGTATTTGTGTATCATGTTTTGTAAAAATATATTTTTGATCGTGTTTTGGAAATTTTGTTATTGTAAATGATATTTGATTTTTAGTTCCTATGCATGTAATGCAATAGGAACTATTGTAATCACTCTGTCACATTTCTTTTGTTTTTTATTGTGTGTAGTATGTGTGTGCGTATGTGTGTAGACATTTATGCAAATGCGCATGCGTCAAAGAAAAGTTTTCCGACATTTTGTTTTACATCGCGATGCGGATTTTCTGCAGAGTTCAGTCAGTGCTCACGCTAACCGATCGGCAAGTCGGCATGCGTGAACCTATTTTGGTTTTACGGCAAAAAAAATCAACTGCTGTGGCATAGGTATTTTGAAGAAGGCCTAAAATAAAACAAAAAGGTTTTAATACTTGCTGAAATACATCGTTTTTTCATTTAGATCTCCATTTTTCACTAACTCCATGCGACGTTTATTTCTGTTGTATGAGTAGTCCATAGAGCTATTAAACAACTAGAGTGTTGACAAGATGGCGCAGGATTGCAGAGTTGTGTATGTGTACCATCCAAGATGGCCGTCGTAGTAAAGCGCCACCTTCAGGCTTAGTATACATATTATTACATATTAATAAGCCGTCTGACTGACTATCATTTCATTAATGATAATGAGTAATGGTAATAACAAATTATTAAACTATTGTAGTCAAAACGAGGCCAAGTGGAGCATCTTATTCAAAAATAAAGTACCAAGGAATGAAAATTAAAATCGTGTACATTACAGATTTACGGAACTCTGTCTATTATACACATCTAGATGTGTATAAGAGACAGGATCATGATCGTGTATTTGCTTTTCAAGAGGGTGACAAAGGTAGTAGGGATAGTACAACTTCCAAGGGAATTGCTGCTGTCTTTAAACTTGGTAAGTATTTGAAGAACTTAACGCACAAGAAGATAAGCAATTTTTAAACCATGAGATGTAAAGCAAACTAAGACACAAGAGCACGGAAAGCATTATTTATTTATTATCTTTTATGTAAATATTTGTTAGATTTAATTTCTGTTGTATTAATGGCATGTTTTAAGTGTTGGTTGTAGAGAAAGGCGAAGAAGGAAAATTAAAATTAAAAGAAAAATTTAAGTAAGTTAAATATGTTACTGAACTCATATGAAAAATGATACATTAAGTAACCTACCTATATCATTACTTAATATGTAATATATGAATATATATATTAAATAATATAATATATGAATTAAAAGTGGGACGACCCCCATGAAAGAGAAAAAAGAAAAAAAATCTTGGTAGGTATTTGTGTATCATGTTTTGAAAAATATATTTTTGATCGTGTTTTGGAAATTTTGTTATTGTAAATGATATTTGATTTTTTATGACTGTATTACAAATTATACTTAGGGGCAAATGCCACTGAACATTTAACCTACCAACTAATGTTTTTTTTTCCCCAAAGAAACCACATAGTGTACCAAAAGTTTAATAATTTTATTTAATATATTTTCTAATATTTCCTTCTGTTGCAGCATTGACCGAGGCAACAGCACATTTTAAGGATTGGAAGGCAATGAAAGAAAAACGTGTAGCAAAAGACAAACAAGAAAATGACAAGAAACCAGCCCCATTTAAATACATTAAGGTAGTTTTCCATCCATGACCATATTTCACAATTTCATTATTTCTTCCTTGTTCATTCAGGTTATATACTACCTCATTGTTAATAAGATCAGCCAGTTAAGCTATACGACTAATTTTGAAATAGTGGTCCTGTATGTAGAATTAAGTCCATTTTAATAAGCCAAAACCTGACTGTTGAAAATTCTCACTATGTTTGGGCAACAATTTATTTATTTTTTAAGTGGTTAAAAGATTGAGTTTATTAAAATGTAAATTAAGGATAATAGCTCTTGATTACTTTAGCAGGCAAAATAAAATTAAAGATAATCTTTATTTTTTTAATTTAAAAAAAAAAAAAAACTTTTGAAGTGGTTGTCAGCCTTTGAATTTAATCATTTATTATTGTTATTGTCATATGTATATAATAATAATAATTATTGTTGATATTTTTATTATTATTACTTTCTTAGGTTAATAAACCAGTAGGTAAAGTGCAAATGCCTACGTTTGATATATCCCAATGTCAGCCGTGTGAATGTAGTCCAAATATGGAGAACCCATGCGGTGAAGGCAGCGATTGCTTGAACCGTATGCTACAGATAGAGTGTCACCCGCAAGTGTGCCCGACAGGTGAAAAATGCCAAAATCAGCGCTTTCAAAAAAGACAGTATCCAGATTCCATTCCGTTTAAAACCGGGCCAAGGGGCTGGGGACTAATGACAAAGGTTGACATTAAGAAGGTAAGGAAATATGTTTAGATATGATTACAAGGAATATAGATACATGGTATGAGTGGAGAGTTGGTAAAATGATAACAAAAAATAGTTTTTAATTCAAAAAATTAAACAACAAATTAACAAGACTGTCTTATTGTGCGGATTAATGTTAGTATATTTTAGTAATTATAATATTAGAAAATAACCTTGTTGGTTTACAAGCCAATTTTAACATCAAACTTTAATAACATTATACAACCCATCCATCATTGATTTTGTGATCTTTTGTCATTACATTCTTTCATGATGTTGTTTGCCTCTACAAATAACCAACTTACATCTACGAGTGATCAGGGCTGAGTTGACCACGCATGTGTTCAAATCTCATTAGCAAATAGGTTTACTGAACTTCAAGAGGCCTGTAGCATCGTTTTGCTATGGAAACCTGTGTTATTGTTCAGTGTACACATTTTGTCTAATATGTCCACATTTCATTTTTAGGGTGACTTTGTTAATGAATATGTTGGAGAGCTTGTAGATGATGAAGAGTGCCATCGAAGAATTAAGAAAGACCATGAGGAGAACAACACCAACTTCTACTTCCTTACGCTGGATAAGGATCGTATCATTGATGCCGGACCAAAGGGTAACATGTCAAGATTTATGAACCACTGTTGCTGGCCTAATTGTGAAACTCAGAAGTGGACAGTCAACGGTGATATAAGAGTTGGCCTGTTTGCTACTAAAGACATTAAAGCAGGTAAATAATAAAATTTTAAATATTCATAAACTCTCAAACACATAGTCTACATTTTGTGTAACATTTGCATTTATAGTAAAAAATGAATGGAATTTTATTGAATTGTGCTTGTTTCGGGCAAAATTAAAGCTAGTCAGATGACTGTTCATTTATTCATTCATAAGTCATTTATTTACTTCCATAGCAGAGTACAGACACAAATATGTATAAGATGTGATTTAAAAGAATTAACATATATTTGCTATGGAAGAAAGCATGATCCCAAGAAGATGAAGATCTTGTGATGGACATGCCTTAAAGGAAATAAAATTTATTACAAACATGTTAATCTCGTTACTTGTCTTCCTAGCCATTTTCTTTCATAGAAAAAACATGGCCGTCATTGACTGATTTGCATCAGTTGACATAACATTGCCAAGCATTAACATAAGAAAGATCTTACTTTAAAGAAGTGCTCCTCAATTATTCATATATTTATTTTATTTTATTTCATTTTTTATTTTGTTAAAAAAGCTCATCATATGGGCAGGGTTGCTCATCTCCTTGTCAGGTCACACTATACCTAATGTACAGTGTATACCTGATGATTACCCAACCACCTCTGAATACGAGTAGAGAGGATATCTTGTAACCATTATTCTATGCAAACTCTGGGGTTGTTATGGGATGCCTGTATGGTACCATTGAATAACTTGCAATGGCATTATTGAATTCACCTTGTAAAGTGACAATGTTGTTAGTATTGACTTACGACGTCATCGATTGATGACGTCTTGCACCCTTAGTTTTGGTGTCGACAGATGATCTTCAGATATTTCATTGTAAATATTGGAAAGTTTGCATGATCCTTTTTCTCTATTCATGTGGTTTGTGTTGCTTCTGATGTGGATCACTTCTCTCATCGCTTGTTGCTAACTTCCCAGTTTGGTATTGGTTCAACAAAAATGCAAAATATTTCTCCTTAATGATCACATTGGAACCAGATCAATTTGTTTGTCAATCGTCCTTATTTAATACCTTTCCCTAGCAGGTGGTGCATAGATTCTGGACCGATTAGCCACACCCACTTCAGTCCACCATGAAAAAATATATATATATATGATGCTATGTCACTTGCCCGAGAATGACACTGTCTTTGGCCTAAAAAATTGTTCTATATATTTTTCCCCTGACAGATGTTACTGCAACTTCCCTGGAAGTATTTTTTGCCATAATGCTTGAAAAACTAGTCTAAAATTGCACATCAGTAATTCCATAGTAATGATGATTGTGTTCCCTTAGGTTCTGAACTGAATTTCAACTATAATCTAGACTGTCTGGGTAATGAGAAAAAGAAGTGTGAATGCGGGGCAGATAACTGCAGTGGCTTTATAGGCGTACGTGCTAAGGTAAGGCAGTTTGTTACCCCCATAGCATCTGCAATAGAACTGAGAGTGTGAGGATAGTACCTGTTACAGCACACCTAAATAGATCCTTGTCATTTGATTGGTGGGTTTTGTATCACGTTCCACTGTACATTTGTTTATAAAACAAATAAAGAATGTTTTCATTCGTTGAAAGGTTGAATGTTCCATTCCACTCAGCTCTAAACTCGTGAAAATATTCTTCCTATTGCACTCATAAACATTCAATATTTGTATTACTAAAGATTATGGGATATTATGATCAGTTATATTTTACATTTTTTCTGTATTTAAGGTACATGCTAAGAAAAAAATTGAGCCAATAGTTGCAATAATAATAATTCTAATTACATCAGTTATAATGAAATGTAGTTAGATTAATATAACGCTTTATACCTGAACGATCTCAAAGCACTTGAGGTGTAGACTAGGTTTTAGAGTAATTTGCTTCTTCCCTAAGGGTCTCCTAATGTCTGAGCTACCCGGTAAACCGGTACCTGCTACTCTTGCCTGTCCACATTCCAGAGGCTAAATGGACCAGTACACTTTGGTAACCCCCTACTAGTCTCAAAAGATGAAATGGGTTCTTCAAGGTGTACATGAACCAAATTGACATGTCGACAAGGATGCGAAGCCCCGCCCACACGTAAACCTTAGACAATGTCGGCTAGACTTACCGAGTTGGCGAAGATTTTCTTTGCTATCAACCTTCTTTAAGAAATAGAATTCAGGGTAGGCGGTATGCAAATGAATCATATATTCATAGTTTTATCTATTTCATGGAACATGGCGGGGAAATTGTTGTAAAAGCCTCTGTATTTCGCTCCCAAAGGAAGAGGGAAAAGC